AGGATCTGTTGGTAACGGATTTTTGAGCTGTTCATCAACTGATTGTCCAGTAATACGTGTACTTGCGGACCCTTTAATAAAAAAAAAAGTTTGAGAATACAGCTAAATATTTTTCGTACAAAAATCGATGTGCTCTTGAATATAAAACTTACCACCTAAAATTTCTGGACCTCCTTGACCAGAAATATGACTCTCAGGTTGACCATGCATACCAGCTTGTGGTGATAAATTATCTTCATGAGAATCAACTTTCGATTTGCCAATATGTTGTTCTCCTTGATTGTATCCAACTGTTTAAAACAAATTGATTTAATATTTATGTAGAAGTTTTCAGAGTCTTTATGCGAAGAAAAACTCTAACTTAAGGAGCTTAATGACAACTATTATGGTGAAGTTTTTATTGCTTTCTATTTTAATAAATATTGGTTTTGATCTGTCACTATAAAAAGCAAGTTCGATAAATTTGACTTGTTCGTAATATCAGTCGTCCTATTGAAATGATTTGATGAACTAATCAATGAGATTTTTCCTACTTTCTCTTGACGTAGAAAACTGGAATTTTTATTACATATATATATCAAATCAAGATCTTTCAATTTCCAAAGATTCAATTTTCTGGCTTAAACTAATATTGAAATACATGATTTTTCTTATTTGGTTTTTTACAACATCTTTTTTTTCTTGAATAATGATATTTATAAATATTTAATGACAAGAAATCGTAAAAGACAATTTTTTGCTAAAATTTTAATTTTATTAAAATTCAATGTGTATAATTGTAGTCTCCATTATCTTCTATGACCAATTTCGATTTTTTTCTATCCAAAAAGACATTCAAGAACCCTGTATCGAATGACATATGAACAAAAAGCTTTCATCTTAATTCAGAGCTTTAAAAAAACTGACTTTAAATATCTCCTATATAAAACATCACGTTCTACAGATCTGTCGTGTTGTAAATGATCTCTATACTAGGTAATAGAGTTATTTCATCATCAATATATGTTGTATGGAACAGCAGTTCTCCACTTTTCTCGCAGATGCTTCGATCGATTCAGCTGATATTTTTTGTATAGCAACTAGAACCAAATCAGGGTATATATATTTTTTTTTTCTTAAAATAATGCTCTAGTGGTTTTTTTGTAGATCTTAAGAAATTCGCTCGAGGGAAAAACTACGTTTTTTTGACAGGGTTTCCAATAGTTCAGTTTTCCAGAGCGAAGAAAACAATATTTTTCAAAGAACAAATATATATACATATCAGAATCAGGTTTTAGTTACTACATAAAAAGCTCAGTGATAGAAAATGAATTTTGACTGTTTGCAAGGAAAAAAAACTTCAGGTCATTTTTGGAAACTGCACCCCTTATGTCTCATAGAGGAACGCATCTGGGAATTCTGAATCTGTGACAACTTTTACTCTACTGGTCGAGATCCGAATGTTCATTTGTTAACATAATGAATTTTCAACAAATAATTGCTTGTCACAGACATGTCATATAAATTGCGTTTGCTTTGAAATTCAATATCTCGGCTAAGGTTAATTCTTTTCCACTGAAACTTCCAGGATATTCTAACAGTTATTAGACCTATCTATGGGCAAAATCACAGATCAAAATTATTTTATTTGATATTTCCGTAAATATCTAAAAATAGTCTTACTGAGACTTTCTTTTAGGCTTCATATGAGCCTCAATAGCAATTTACAGTTCGGGTAATATTTCCGTAAATAATAAAATTATTACAAAAAATCCACTAGAAAAATGCATGTATATCAATACTAATAGGTTTAAACTAGAGAACTCAAACTTAGAAAAATTAAACACCTTGATTTGATATATATGTAATAAAAATTTCACTTTTCTACGTTAAGAAAAGCATGAAAAATATTATTGACAATTTTTTCTCAGTTATTGAGCGATGTTCTTTAAATCACATTTTTGACCAATGAAATTTCCGAAAGGCTAAGTTTTATTTTCTAATCATTCTTCTCATGCCATGTACATGCCCTGACATGCATTAATGAGCAGTCCCTAAGACTTTCATGAAAGAAGATGAATACACCTTGCATGATACCGAAGAAACAGACAACTGAAATAGTGCAATCTCTGTGGAATGAAAATGTGAAACACGATGTAGCTATTATTGTTAATTCCATGAAAATTATTTTATACGATCTATTTTGGGGTACATTTCTTTATCATCATTTACTTAATGCTCTAGAACTGAATAAAGAAGTATTTCATATATTCTAATGAGATATTAGTGATATACAAAAGGATTTTCTAATGAACTTTTGATAAAAGCAAACAAAAAAAAAATGTACCTGAATGATAAAGATCTGATGTTTGATTCGACATATTTTCTTTAAATTTTATTCAATAATCTACAAATAGATAATTTTGTTTTTCTATCTTACAATACTAAACAAAAAATTGACTTTTACTAAAACAAATAGCTTTGAGATTAGCAATAGGAAAATATAAGGTTAATAAAAAAAAAACATTCAGAATGATAAATATTGGAAAAAAAAAGTACTGGAATACAACAAATATAATGATATGTATGAGAAAAAAAGAATCTGCATTAGATCTGAACAAAAATATTACTTAAGAGGCCAAATACGATTAAATGCTTCAATAAATTTGTCATAAATCATAAATGTAATTGCAACATCAGCACAGACACGACCAAGTCTTGGTACAGTACCCTTATAAAATCTACATAAAATAATATAAACAAAAAATTTTTTTTTCTTAATTTTAAACAATCAACTTACGCTAACGGTCCTTCATTTCGCATAATTTGTATTGCACAATCAAATGTATTTTTATATTTTGCAGCTTCAAGACTTTGCATACGTGTTTTAATAACATCAAGTGGTGTATTACCAAAAACACTAGTTGCACCAGCAATTAAACCAAATATACCTGTAATAATAACTGGTATAGATGTATTTTGTCCTTTCATTGTATATTTTCTATATTGTTCTTTTAATGTTTCCATAACAAAAAAACGAATAGCTTGATTCGTTCCTTGTTTAAGCATAGTTGCTGTTAAACCTTGATAAGTACCTCGAATACCTAATTAAATAATAAAACTAAATAATATCTATAAAACTCAAGAGAAAAAAAAAACAATACCTTCAGTTCGAATAATTTCACGAACGCCATGAAAAAATCCACGATAATTAGGTTTGACTAAATGTTGATCATGAATAAATTTAACTTTAACAGTTTCCATTGGTGTAACAATAAGTATAGCTTCAGCTAACTGAAAGTAAAATTTAGTATTCATGATAACTAAAACAAAAACATGATCACTTACACCAGCACCTAAACCACATAAAAGTCGAGTTTTTGAATTTAATTGACCATGTTCATCAACTGCATGTTTTTTGAGCTCTTCAAAAGCACCAAATCTATAAGAATTCTAATTTATTTCTAATAAATTTTCTTAATTCTTTCTTACCTAACTGCACTTTTCGGTATCGATCCATATAAAAGTACACTAAGACCACGATAGAGACCAAAAAATCCTCGTGAATGTACTGTTTTTTTTACACAATCAATAACACCATTATATTGTCGTGCTTCACCACGTCTACTTGATCCTTCATCCAATTGTAATTGTGTTTTAACGAATTCCGTCGGAAATGTTATACAAATTTCAATTGCACCTGTTATACCACCTAGTAATGAAAAAAACAAAAGAAACATCTAAATTTATTTATTTCTTTTAGAATAATAGCAGATTTTTACCAGCAATAACACCACGTAGACCACCTGTAGTTGCAACAGCAGCAGCTGCTGCATGCAAATTACGACGATGAGTTGATGACATGATCAATTTTTAATTAGTATTCTTGAATAAACACGGCTTATGAATGTATTCGACTCATAATATTTCTTTTACTCTGAAAAATGTATAAAAAAAAAAAGATTGAGAAATATTATCAGTGTTAGTTAAAAGGTGAAACAGTAAAAAGAAAAAAACAAAAAAGAAAAAATTGTCTAATAAGTGAAGAACAATATTTATTTTGGCTATGAAATAAACCTTATTATTACATGACTCACTCATCTGAAATATTCATTGGTTAATCATTGAATTTTAAAGAGTTCATGATGGCGCTGGAATCTGATATGCCTTAGAAGTATAGCTGTAACTATAAGACTTGTTACAGATTTATTTATATGAGAAACATTGTTGTAATATATTTATCAATAACGTCAATCGCTCTCTTATGAATTTGAATGTCACAAAAGAACAACAGTTTTGTTTTCTTTCATATAATTCATTAATTGATCTTAACGGTTATAATGTTGTCTCTTTTTTTCCTTATCAATTTTATATTAACTGAGAAGCGTAACTAGATGAAAAATTAGAAGGATAGATTCATCTGTAAAGATTTAGATATTCTAAAATAAACGTGACAACATATCCGCTACAATCTCTCGCGGACAAAAAAAATGGCCTTTTTCTATTTCATTTTCGCATCACTTAATGCGTTGTTTTAAAAAAAACAAAATATACTGTAAGATGCT